TCCCAGTTATTTACTAAATTAATCATGAATTATCACATGTGAAGGGATGATTTCCTTTTCTCGTTTTCTGTCACTACATAAGATTCACTCTTTACCATTGTTGTTCATGATTAACGTAACACCGTAGATAGCTATAATTCCTCAAACAAAATTGAGTAGCATTAATGTAGAATTAAAGGAGAACATTTAGTGTGTAGTAATCTTGTAACATCGTAGATAGCTATAATTCCTTCTCAAACAAAATTGAGTAGCATTAATGTAGAATTAAAGGAGAACATTTAGTGTGTAGTAATCTTCTACAACGACAGTCACAGTTAATCATATGTTAATTTCATATATCGCCATAAATCTTTTACAATTTACCCTCTAGCTAAGTACTTGCGTACACTGTCGTTTATAAGTATCAAGACACCCATTGTGTTGTAGAAAGTATTATATGATTCAATTTACATTTATTTGCTAAAGTTAGTGTCATATATTAGTGAAAATGTGCACACATATTTACTCGCTATACGTCAAAATTCTAGGAGAAATAATTTTTTTAGGATGTTAATAATTTTGCAATGACTTTTGTGTGTCAAATCATTTGAATTTAAACTTGCAATGACAAAGAGGCTGACAGTACATTCAGTGGATACATTTTAGTAAATTTCAGTAGAATTTATAAGGTTTCAGTAGATTTTAGTAGATAGCCGTAGGTTTCAAAGGATTTCAATAAGGTGTTAGTCAAATTTAGTGGAATTCAGTAGTTTTCAGTAAATTTTAATGCATTTCTGTAGATTTCAAAAGATTTTAACGGATATTAGTAAAATACTGACGATTTCAATAGAATTTAGCAGATTTCGGTAGACTTTGGTAGACTTTGGTAGATTTCGATAGAATTTAGCAGATTTCGGTAGATTTCGATAGAACTTAGCAGATTTCGGTAGATTTCAGTAGACTTCGGTAGATTTCGATAGAATTTAGCTGATTTCGGTAGATTTCAGTCGACTTTGGTAGATTTCAATAGATTTCAGTAAAATTCAGCAGATCTTAGTAGATTTCGAAAGATTTCAGTAGATATTAGTGGAGTGCAGTAAATTTTAATGGAATTCAACAGATTTCTCAAGATTTCAGTAGATTTTGGTAGATGTCAGTGAAGTTTAGTAGATTTCAATAGATTCCACTACAATTCAGTAGATGTTCATTACGCTTCGCATTCAATAAGCGTCCTAATACTTATGAACGGATGTGTACACACTACCGGCCAAAAGTTTCGAATCACCTGCTAATTTACGGTGAAATAGAATCCGCTGCTAATTTTTTATAGATTTGAAATTGATGTTGCGGAGATCGATAGTATTTTACCTCATTTCGATTGATTTGAACGGGGAAAAGTTGGTTAAAATATTCTTAAAATTGCTAACCTTATTCTGGAAATTGTTCTATAACTTGTAATGCACAGTGATTCCTAACATTTGGCCGGTAGTGTATACACTGTTAAAAAGAAAATCGAGTAAAAATTAGGGCACAGACTTTTACTAGAAACACAGGCCATTAGAAAAGCGTAAAAAGTAAGCTAGAACGATGACCGATCGCGTTCACGTTCATTTAACGAGTTATTTACATCGAACGGGATAATTTCCTTATAGCGATGATGTTATTTCTGCAAAAATGTTATTTCTCCTCGTAATCGGCGCGCGAGCGAAAACTCCGTTCCTCGCCGCAAACGCGAATTAATCGAGTAAGATCATAAGCGTATTATGCGTATTGATTTCCATCCACTTTCATGGCCGTAACTGATTTATGGAATCAAGCCGTCGATTGTATCCTTTCCTAGCGAAAACCCCGCGTATTTCAATTTCGACGGTGCATACCTCGAACTTCGGTCACTCTCCTTGAACGCTCGAAATGAAAACGCAATCAGGGAAATTCGAATGAAATTCGATACCGAGAACGATATCTGCAGTACTTTCCTTCCTTTGAATTACAACGTCAAGGTCGATCAATGTACGATATCTTAACAGAGTTTTTTGCTCCCCGTTAGGCTACTCACGATCGCGAACATGCAAGTAAACGTTATTCGAAAAACTGGATTCAGTTGAGCGAGAAAGTTCTGTTGTCGTCGGAAATATCCGGCATTAACATATGCCTGTCCGCTTTGATTGAAACTCTGTCACCTCGGAAGTGCTACGTTGAGTTAGAGCACGGTCCATACGCGATCGCTCTCCGTTGTTCTAGAGCATCTTGAAATATTGAAAATCATCACCTTTGTTGCGAAGTCAAATTCGCGAATTGCGTAAACACGCTACAGTTCACACTTTTATTTGTTGTTAGAAATTTGTGAAACTGCTAAAGGAAAGAAAAATTCGTTACGGAGAATATACAAAAGTACAGTGGGAACAAAAATTCTTCAATCTTTAACTTCAATAATTTAATTTTTTAAAAGTTTCGAACTAATACTATCTTCTGAGAAAAGTTCGATCTAGTTTGAAAATACGCTCGCGTCCGGACAGATCCAGGTCTCACCGCAAGATGTGAGAGAAAAGTGACGAAATAATTACAAAATCTTTGGAACTTTCTTGTGGAAGAAACGCAACCAGTGTCAGAAATGCGAATGGATGATGTAAGGAAAGAAATGTTCTATTCAACTGTGCGTAAAATCCCGGGCTGCCGAAATCAGCGGAACCATTTTCACGAATCCAAACGAAGCTCAACGAGGAATGGTTCGATGATAACGAAAATGTATGTAATTGAGCGATGTTAATTGAAAGTCGACGATTAGTCCAAGTTTAATATAATGGACTTTCTATCGTAATAACACAAAAATAGTTTGAGCACGTTGACATTACCAAATTACTCGGAACATTTTTCAATAGAAAACCAGACTACAATTTTCACACTATGGAGCTTCCTTTGCATTAATTTTGCAGTTAGGTAGCTTTCAATTTTATTCCCGTACCCTTTGCCCAAAAATATATTTCCTAAATAAACACGTGCAAATAAATCAGATCGATAGATCTTATCGGTAAAGACGTTGCCTCAATGGAGGTATCGTCTAGGTGATACTCTGCATTGACAAATTTTAAAGTACATTGGAGATAAATAAAAATAATATATATTTTCTAAATAGTAGATATTACAATTCTCCAGTGATACTCTTCTCCTTAACTGCATTTAACCTCCTTTAACTGCATAAAACTGCATTTAATGCATTGTGTCAAAAACTTGAAAATAACAATTACTACCTAATCAGTGTCAGAGAACTTTTACGGGAACATTGAACAGTGAGCTGATAATCCATCAGAGGTGGATGTCACGTTACTTTGCATCGATAGTATTTTGCAGATCGTAAGATCAACAAGAACGAAAAACATGGAAACACAAATTTGGTGAATTTCAATATTTAGGTAATTCTCGCACACGTGAACAGATTCATATATTAATGGAAGAGATGGATTGTACCGACGATATAAAATATGATAAAATGTGACGATCTTTTGTGCGATGAATGGTAAAAATGGAATTTTTTATGGAATTACCATTTAATAAAAGTTGCTTTATGAGCGGCAACAAGATATAACTATCGATAAGAATAGGTGCACAGTAGCACTCGAGAATAATCTGGCTCGCTCGGGACTTTGTCAGTGCCGGACTATCAATTATGCCAAATTATTGGGCTATATCTGTGTAACGCGGTAAAAACGCGGAAAATAATTTTAGAAACGGCCATGGTTAATGCAATAACGTAATTTCTTGACAGAACTAAAATACACATATATTTACATATACAGGGGGAGTTAGTAAGAACTAATATCCAACATAATGCTACAACGCAGCGTTAAAAAAAAAATGTGAAATCTCAAAAAATATTAGATATAAAAAAATGAAGTCACGTTCATCTGATGCACCCCTTCTAATGCTACATAATTCGTTTAAACCGTTTCTCGATACAAGCAAGAGACAACGAGTTATTTTCGTTAGTTCCTATTGACTGTATATAAATATAAATTTATGTTTATATATATTTCCTGTTTTACGTGACCTACCCTGTATAACATAAAATACAAATAATTTCACTCTCTTAATCTGAAAAAGGAAAAGTGTGATACACGGAAAATTCGTGGTTAGGGCTACTCCTGCCGGATCATGCGAATTCTACTGTACACGTTCAAAAGAAAATGAATGAAAAACACATTCAATTATTTACTTTTAGAAAAAGTTAATGCACTGCACCAAATTGTATACAAAAGTTACGATACGTTTAAGAACTAACAACGGAGAGGAATGGATAACGGTACCGTTCAATTTCCCATTGAAACGCCTCTAACGTTCAGCTTTCAAATTCGTGCAAACAATAACCCCGGGGAAATGTCCGAAAAACCTAGCAATTTCTTTCTATCGCGTTTCTAAATTCTTTCGTCGCTGGAAAGAACAAAAGGGACAATGCGCATCTTCGCGATAAAACTTTTGAGGTAAATCTCGTGGCGGATCTCGTGTGAAAACCGACCAGGATCAGAAACTGGTCCCGCAAGGATTCAAACAACAACCGAAAATAAACACTATAAATAAGGAAAAAAGTCAATGGGAAATAAGAGGGATCCTCGAAGGAGAATTTAGAATAAAAGATTATTTTAGCATTTAAGACAGTGCAACACGGAACACGATAGTGGGAAATTAGGATGGAAAGGTGGTAACGGGGGGTGGGAGGTGAAGTACGTGGCAGACGTTATTACCGGGCCTCTACTAGGTCTTCGGATGGCATTTTCAGTGACGACGAATAAAGGAAAAAGAAAGGGAGACCGGCGGCGCGCATGCACGACAGAGAGAGAAGGAGGGTTGAAGGGCGGGAGGGAGGGAGGGAGAGAGAGAGAGAGAGAGAGAGAGAACACGTAGACTGTACCTCTTCTTGAAATAACGAGGAAAAGAGAAGGAGGTTCTCCAGGTGGTGGAAGAGGAATAACACGTGACCAATGACTTATATAAAGGTGGAGAACGACAGGATCCAAAGACAGAGTTCCCTCTGTGCGGTGAAGCCTGTGCCCGCAAAAGTGATAATAGTTTCCTTCTTGACAAATAATTGAAATTTCGTTACCATACCTTGAGGCAAGAGTAACCTGATCAGGATACCACGCGGGAGACACACATTCATAACCATGAGAACATTCTACGTGATAGCCAGCATTCTTATCGCCGGTACGTACTTAAAATAAACGCGAGATACAATCGTGAGGATACGAAAGAGGGGAAAAATAGAGAGAGAGAAAATAACGGAGAGACACATTAGCGGAGCGAAATATTATCGAGAAGAACTGAGGAGAGGAGGAAAGTGTTACTCGAGGACGATCACAATCGTTCTTTTTTTTTGTCGAAAGTGGAGGACATAAGTGTGTGATATATGCGTGTGAATCACAAAGAGAGTGCACTTCTCCTTCGCCGCAATTGCCACGGTAGATGCGATACCTTTTGTTTCGTTGAAATGCGCCGACGAAGTAACACAATAAGCCACGTACATAGGATTATTTTATACACTATTAACGCATATTTTCCACTAACTATGAATGGAATTACATTGAGAAACCGTTTAGTTTACCAAAGAATTTGTTTCATTAATACCTCAAGTTGTAAAGAATTTGTCAATTAGGCAAAGTATTTCTACTGCGACGTAATGCCCGTAATACCTTGAAAAGGCAAGTAAATTTAGCGTATATTGAACAACGTTATAAAAATGAGAACAGTCTTTGTAATTCGTTAAAATGCATTCAGCATGTGTCATGTAACAATATTTTTGTTAACACCGAGACCCAATGAAGTATCTACAAATTTCTCAGTCACCTTCGCGCAAGGTTACAAATTCAAGAATCCCTTTACGCCTTTAACCCGTGAATGGAAACAGTTAATCGGAAAGGAATGATCAACTTTCTCGCTGTCCTTAACGAAATCTAGCGATGAAACAAGATTGAAAGGCGTATTCAGTATCCGTGCGAAGAGAAACCTACTCAACACGCGTTTCCAATCTTTTTCCCTTCCCCAGGCTTCCATGACTGCAACAGGATAACCTTGGCCCAGATCTTGACCCTTCTTTTTATCAACGACCACCATCGGATCGTGTATAAAATTCTTCTGTCTAACTGTTGAAAATTCGGTTGATAGAGTATGGTAAACGGTCCAAGTAAACACGTTCCGTTTGAGTAAGAAATGAGAAAAACGGCGTCGATAACAACTTTGTCAGTTTGGAGACGCGACTTTTGGTAGTAGAGCGGGCCCTGATCGGTCCTGGAGAAAAATGAAAGTGACCATACAACGCGAAATTACAGAGGACCAAGGTGTGTACGTGTACGTGCAAAAGGAAAAGCACACACGCCGAGGAAACGCGTCGAGGAGGAGAGTCGGAGTGAACGGGATGCTGGGAGGGCCCAGTCACGAGCTGTGCTGGTGTTGCGGCTGTTGCGGCTGCTGCTGCTGTTAGGTGGGCCTGGCTCTAGGCCCAAAGTGAAAGCGCCTGGCGAAAGTCACATTGCGTCTTTACATAAGACGTTTAGATTATTCAGACATCATATGCCGCGAAAAAAAGAATAACAGATTATTAACGTCATTGTCGGCTTCGAGACAATACGCGTTAAAAAGAAAATCTCTGCATTAGCATCGATAATAAAAGCGTGAAAAGTGTGATGTATACTTATCGTCACCTATGGTATCCATCTGCTGTTGCACGAGCGGCTAGAATTTCGAAGAGGTGTGGTGGAAGAAAAAAGTAGAAAGAGTTCTATGATTGTCGAATCAATATTGTTGCCTTTCTTTTCGACGTCTGGACAACGAACGACAGAATGCTCCGCGATTGATACGCTTTTTAGCACGATTAAGTGTTGGTAACTAATGCAATCGCGTAGGATTCAGTCCGCAATTAGATGGATTTAACGTGAAAATATATGTAATTTAGAATTATTCCAAGGAACAAGCACTTGTTTGTAACATTCTAAAATATTGAAAACGGAAAGTTGAACTTTCTATTTTCATCCATAATTATGTAATAATTATGTAATGTGTTACAGTATACATCTCAATTTTGCATAATTTTTTACATCGTCTCTTTATGCAAAATAAGATTTTTCTTTAGGTATAGTGCGGTCCACGTATACGCTGCCATGCATAAGTATTAGGACACCCATTATGTTCGTGTAGAAAGTATTATATGATTTAAATTACATCTCCTCGCTGAAGTTAGTGTCGTACATTAGCGAAAATACGCATATGCGTTTGCTATACTTCGAGGTTTCTAGAACGAGGAATTGTTTTTTTTTTTGGATCTCAATAATTTTGCAATGACTTTTGTAATGACGATGAGGCTTGCTTCACATTCAGTAAATAGATATCAGTAGGTTTCGATAGATTTTAGTAGATTTTCATAGATATCCGTAGGTTTCAAAAGATTTCAACAAGGTGTTAGTCAAATTCACTAGATTTCGGTAGAATTCGGTAATTGTCCTAATACGTACGAACGGGAGGTATGTATGTATATGGCATACATATGGCACATTCTAGATTTATCAACATGACAATAAGCGAAAAAGAACTGTTGTTAATTCTTCAATTAGATATATACATTTTTTTTTTAATTAAATTTTTTCTTCTATTTATAGGCGTGGCCGCCCAAGAATCATTCAAATGTCCAGATGACTTTGGTTTCTATCCTCATCATATATCCTGCGACAAGTACTGGAAGTGTGAGAATAACGTCGCGGAATTGAAGACTTGCGGGAACGGACTTGCATTCGACGCGAGCGACAGCAAGTTCCTTACCGAGAATTGTGACTACCTCCACAATGTAGACTGCGGCGAGAGGACACAGCTTGAGCCACCGATTAATACGCCACATTGTCCACGTCTTTATGGTATTTTCTCCGACGAGAAGAAATGTGACGTGTTCTGGAACTGCTGGAACGGAGAGGCCTCCAGATATCAATGCAGTCCTGGGCTCGCTTATGATCGCGAAGCCAGAGTTTGTATGTGGGCAGATCAAGTACCTGAATGCAAGAACGAAGGTACGCCCTAATAGTTATACAAGCGAATGCACGCATACAATATCAGATCACGGTGTTCTAGTCACATTCTTGAGTAAATCTTTCTCTTCTATTCTTCTGCTTTATCAGTTTACATAATTGATTTCTAAGTAACGTTCAATCGATGACCAGAAATTCAATCATCACATCTATCATGGCTTGTCTATTCTCTTTTTACCAAGATAAATATATAATTTTCTCGTTGCATCAGTTTTGCGGTATCAGTGAAGGTACAATACCAAACAAGCATAATTGTCGTACGTGTTGATAGCTGTTTACGCTATAGAATACGAGAATAAGCTTCCATTATAATTTTCCTCATATTTACATTTATTTTATTCTATCAGCAATACGTTTTCGCTTATCAAAAATATACTGAAGAACACGATCGTTCACGGAGAATTATTCATTTATCGATAAGCTGGTCATTCTTAATTTCATTATTACACTTTTCTTTGCCTGAAGCTCCTGAGGGAGTCATACACGCCTCTCGACTTTACAACGTCGAGTTTTTTACATATTGTAGAAATATTTTAGGCACAAAATCAACTCGAAATTCGAATTATTGACAAAGTTACCGCCACTCGTTGCAAAACTTCAAACACGTTTTTCTCGAAACAGTATTTTTCGAGACGGTGAGCGTAACCATCCCGCCGTTCGTCCGATTAACTTCATCTTTCGCACACATATTCTAAATAAGATTCGTTATCGGCTCGTAGGGGCTTTTACAAATAAATTGAACCACTTTTAAATAACAAAATAAAACGTACGGTTTTTTAAATGAAAATCACGACCCTCTTTTTCAAATTCTTGCCATTGTTGCGATTTTTTTCTAAATCTCCTCGTGAGCCGACAACTACGATCCCAAAAAGTGTTAGAAAGTCGAAATTCTCTGTTTCTGGTCTCCCGTAAGGGCTGAATCATGTCCATTCCTGTTTTTTACTGTACAAACACGTACTTTTGTAATATAAAAAGAATTAGGTCAATCGACCAGAAAGTTTGTCCTCCAAATACTCGTAAACTCTGACCACTTTTTACTGTCGAGAAACGTATGTAACTCCTTAAAGGGATGCTCTAGTCCATATAGAGTGTCATTTTTTAGGTTCTCCTGGAGATTTTTTTACAAAGAAACCATAAGACTTTTTCTATTTATTTATTTACGTTTTAAGAATATTCACCATCTTTTTCAAGTGAAAATAATCAAAATTGATTGAATTATAAGTTGTTTCATACGGTCCCTTAAAAAAAGTGTCTTACTGGCTGACATGATTTCAGTCATTCTGCTTTTCCAAAACGAAAAAGCCGAAAAGATTCGTGATTAGCATGAGTGTCGCTATGGCGTAAATCAGGACGAAAGAAAAATATCGAAAATTTGAAGAATTGGGCCACTTTGAAATTTGAATATCGATTTTCTCCATTTTTTTCGTATTTTCTGGGCTAAAAAATCACACAAAAAACGTAATTTTTTGGTAATTCTGACTCGTGTCATAACCACACATCTGTCGAAGGTGTAGGCCAAATTTGAAGTTAAGTAGTCACCTAAAACTTGAGACATCGTGTCAGCCATTTCAAAAAGTACGAGAAAAACGCGTTTCACCCTTATTTAGACAACCAGGTACCCATTTCTACATTTTCCTTTAATTAACAATTTCTTATGTTCTCGCGAAAGTATCATAAAATCGTTCCGAATCCCCATTTTTACATCGATATACACTTGGAAAATAAAAATTTACGCAAATAATTTTAAATATTAAAGCCTGAAACCACCGTGAACATTTTAGTTGCCTACACAAGGGTTCATCTGCTTAATGTAGTACCTACATTATAAAATCATGGTGTTATTTAAACGTTCACGGAGTTCCGCTAGGCTTCTGTTGCCTAGTCGTTTGCGATCGCAAACGAAGCCACGGTACGCCTCTCTCTTCCATCTCATCGCTATATTTGATATATCTATTGCATTGCACAGAGGTCGCAGGAGGTTTCACGTGTCCGGCCGCGGGCGAAGTGAGCGGAGCATCCGGCAGTTTCAGCAGACACGCCCATCCCGAGGACTGCAGAAAATATTACATATGTCTGGAGGGCATCGCCAGGGAGTACGGCTGTCCGATCGGCACCGTCTTCAAAATCGGCGACTCTGACGGTAGCGGAGCTTGCGAGGATCCGGAAGATGTTCCTGGATGGTGAGCCCCTGTTTCCTTTCGCATTTAAATACAGTTACTCCGAAAAATATTCAGACACTGGGGAAATAATGATCGAACGTGGCGAAAATATGCATAATATTTAAAATATTGTTCATACGAATAATACGAACATTAAAAATATTCATTTTCGCTAAGTGTGTGAATATTTCTGTAACATTCGTTGCTCGCCAAAAAAGTCGCAACAAAATCGCACAAATCTGAAATTTGTATATACTGTTTGGGGTATTGAAAGGGAAAAATTACCAAATTTGGTTAAAAAAGGTATTTTTTAATCAAAGATATAGCTCGATAAACGTACGTGATTTCCAGATTTGCGCGACCCTAATTTCTAGGTATTGCAATTTTTTAGCGAGCTGTATAGTAAGTGGACATATGTAATATCGATTAATTTGTATTGATAATAATACGTAATCCTAAAGTAGATTAAATAATGTTTCACAACGAAAAATCATCAACCCGATCCTTTTATAATTAACCTAAATACATCACTAACTAAGTAGAAAGACAAGCTTATATAGTGTCCGGATATTTTTGGGAATAACTGATACTAAGTTTCTAATCTTTCATCTTTAGAATTTATTTGAGCAAAAAAAGGATTAGTTTAATCGTAAAACCTGCAAAAGCTCCTAATTTCGATTTTGTTAATGCATCAATTAGATTAGAAGAAAAGTGATTCTGATTTTCTAGTACTTGATCGTTGCAATTCATCTTAACAATCGATTGATAAGCATTCTCATTTGTAATGCTTCATTCTTATAGTTCGTTTTAACGACTAATTACGAAGGATAATGTTAATCTTCTAACCCTGCCTCTTTTTAATGTTCCAACAACGAATAACATAAAATAGAAGAAATAATCATGATTTTTAAACACTTCACTGGCCTATTTCCATTTTGTCGTCGCACATGCAACTTTTGCTGTATTGTAGATTAATATAGTCAAATTAGCTTTCATAGTAACATACAAATGTTACAATAGTGTCACGAAAATAAATGAAATGCACTGTTAGATTTCTGAAGAATTACTGGAATGGTAAACATTTAGATATCGACTCAATAAAGTAGACAATTTTTTCAATCAGATTTCAGGCTTCTGTGTAGCATGTTGTCTCAGCCTTAGTTTCAGTTAATAGAATTCGAAAGAGTAATAAAAGAGAGACTGTCATGTAAATTTAAACAGAACAGGATGTTTGCAAGCAGGTATTACGTAAAAAGAAATTCTAGATAAACCAGATAGCATGAACCTGTACGCTCTGTTTGAAAATTCGTAAGATATTTCGCTTTCTTCCTGTGACGTAATTAATCGAATATCCACGATAGATTATACGCTCGTAACGAGTACATAGATTTTACGTAATAACCACCCAAATATTTATAAGAGAATATTTACATAATCGTTCTTAGAGGGAGGAATAACACGTATGAATGTCAAATGATCAAAATGTTCACGCGTATCGTGTTTCTAAGCAGTCTACGCGACATTTAAAAGCTATTAAGTTCAAGGAAAATTTTTAACGAACAAAATTTTATTTTATTAACACGACACGTGTTACACGTCGTTCGTGTAAAACAAATTTTATTCCATATATTTTTTATAAGCAGTCACCTCGTGCTGGTTTGTACATAACTTTCGGGAGCACCCTGTATATCGCCGAAGCGCCTACGTATTAAACAAACCTACTGACACGATTACTCGTTCTGATTATTATATTATATCGTTCAATAAGTTCGTGCCATTTAGACCAATACTTCAAATATACTTTTAAATCCTACGAAAGGACGTAGTCAACCTCTCATTCCACAACTTCGACCCATCTTTTTGACAAAACCATCACGCCGTTACTTATAAAATTTCTTCGGTTTTTCATTAAAACATTTGTCAACGTTATTTCTCATAGAGTTGATACTGTCAAAAGTTTGCCCCCTAAAAAATGTGATGCACGAAACAGATGATAATCTGATGGGACAATTTCCGCAGAACACGGTGGGCGTGGTGAAATTTTTGCACATCTTCCACATACAGTCTGGTATTATCGCGGTGAAACATCACTTTGTTCCGATTTAAGAGTTCTGAACGTGTCACTACTGTTGCTTGTCTTAACTTTTCTAACTGAACACAGTAAGTACTCTGTAGAGCTCAGGAGTTTGCCCCTGGAAGGAATACGGGTCTGATTGGGTCATACTCCCATAAGCCCACCTTCTCTAACACAATCATAAAAATAGGACATAGGTATTGTCGTTATTGGTCGAACGCGATAACATCGACGAATCGGATCATATAACACCGAGTGGAGGAAGATTCGGGTGGTACGAGCGAATTGCCCTTCTTGCCCCTGTGCTGCCCCGGGGGCAAGCTCCTGAGCACCGCATAGTACACGTCTGAATTAGGTGCTTTCACTTCTTAAAAGTAACTCGAACTATAAAACACATCGTGACACGAATTTATTGGACGACCTAATACACGACTAACTGTAGAAAAAAAAACACATAATTATATATATATATCATACATATTCTAACTTTGAAATTTTTCCGATCTTCTGTTTCACAGTGAGGACTATTACGGTGACTTGGACTTGAAAAGCATCAGGAAAAGCGAGCTACTTGCTGGAATTCAGAATTCCGGTGAAACTAGAAAGCCTCCTCAGGGTAAACCGAGACCTCCATCAGCACCAGCAAGGCCCAACACACCCATTCAAGAATAATTTCTATCTACTCTCCCCTGTTTCCCCTCTTTCGTACCTCTTCATCTTCTCTACTTCTTCGTTCATTCTCTCCCTCTTACCGAAATTCTTTCTCTCGCCCCCTTTTCTCACACACACATTCGTACACATGCGAACGCACGAACACACACATATACGCACGCACGGACACATCTAATCGTAGACTCTCGTGTGAACGATCCTGATGTTCGATACCTATGTAGCGCCGGAAAGCAAAAGTACTGCTTGGTTACGTTTGTTCTTAACGTTCACGTTTCAGCCAAATTCTGTAGTTCTATATCTATCCGGTAATTGCTCCATATTCAGCGGTCCGTCTTAGATCCGGGATAAAAATTGCCCTCAGAATCCGCCAAAGGTTCCTTTAACTTTTCCCACGAACGTGTCGTGTCTAAGGAGGGTGAATGTCGAAACTCTCCGTTTACGTTAATGTTCATCGGTATGTCTCAGCGTCAATGGCAACGATGATGATACGGATAATAAGAATGAACGTTATTTTCGTGCGAGTTTAATCATCCACGCGTTGCTTTTTCCAGTTTTTTTTTTTTTTTTTTCGTCAGTCGTGTGATTATTTAAACGAGGAATCGTATCGAATAACATGGATAAAATTAAGAGACTGATTATACACTACGTCAGCGTGTGGAAGAGCAATTGAAATTTGCAAATGTATTGTTCTTCTCCATAACGAATCTATCTTCGATGCCCTGTTCTCTCGTGTTCGTTGCCAACGGGCATCTCGATGGTTGAAATTTGAAATTGTGTAAAAATCAGAATAACGAAATTCGAATTGACAATGGTGCAAATCCCAATCGTGTCGTCTCACAAATAACTCTCGCATTGTTTCTTGCCCCTGTTATCATTTATCCCTCTCTTTATTCTCTCTTCGTACTTGATGTTCATACTTCCATCGTTATTGTGAGACGTTCGATTTGAAACAACGATACGTATAACGTATACACATCGGGTCACGTTCACTGAATCCCACTTTCGCAGAGATATCTGCGAGAAAAATTCAGTGGACAGTGGATTTTTTATCATTTTCTCAATATGAGTTTTTCCCTCACACTCTTGGCTTCGGTCAAGCATGCTTGCGTAACGTAGACGAGTCCGTACATTTTTAAGTAATGTAAAAGATTCGTAAAAATAAAAGGAACGAAAATTCGTAGAAAAATATGTGCATTTCTGAAATTCTAGTTCCCAAACCTGCAGCGGGTGATCAAATTATCAGAGCCACAGCACGAAAACTATGCTTTTTTGTGTTTGTGTGGAAATGAAATCACAATATCAAGGTTTTTACACGGGATAATTTTTCGTTAACAATTGTCCACTAAAGATACACAAGAAAGTTAAACTTAACTTATGCAGTTAGAAAAAATACAGTATTTGGTAGCGTCATCTTTTGTTGCAATTACCGCCTTCATTCTTTTGGATATACTTTCGATGTATTTTCAGTAATTTACTATACGTTGTAAGTAGTAAAAACGCGGCAACAAAAGTTCAAATGTTCAAGATCTATAAACCAACAAAACTGTAAGGCAGAGTCGACACTGGTCAGAACTGTAACGCAGACTTTTCGGGACCAGGGACAGCGTAGTATCCATATACTAGAGCTTGCTAATGAGTTTACTGCTCACGAAAATTACACTGATGGCGGACATTCTTCGCGAACACCGCATTAGACGTGGTTTTTAGACAATAATATTGCCTAAAGTGTTGCTAAGTGTATATTTGCAATTTGCAAACATCAATGCTTCATAAGAAATAATAAGAATTCAGTCTAACTAGACTTTCGTCTGAAAATTAATTGTTACAATGTAGTTCTTGCAGGTGGCTCTAACAATTTGGTCATGCACTGTATTACCTGATCTTCTATGTTCCCCGTGTATGTTTCTTTTATTAAGTCGTTCAGAAAGTTCTGTCAGATTTCGTCGTCTGAACCTAAATAATCATAACTCCGCCAAAAGTTAACAAATCTTCACCGTGCAGACTATGTGATAAATTTACATGGTAAGGGTGAAATTTGTGATTGCAAGATCCTATGAAGTGTACGTCTGTGTTAAAGCTGTTTTGTCCTTGCGACTTTGGATTGTCTCAAGGTCATTTCAAAAACATATACTGAACTTGTTTTTTTTTCTATACATTAATAATACCAAAACAAAAATATAATATTCCATGTAAAAAACACGAGATGACCTTGGTATAACCTTGAAAAATTGAAGGCAAAAATTTTGGTTTTGCACACTGACAATCTACATAAAGAGTGATGATAAAAGTCTAGTTATATTTTTGTCCTATCACCTATCGTTCAGTTGTTATATCAAACGACACTTATTGTGGGACACCCTGTATATCCATATATGGAGGCCACATTTCCGGGGTTTGAGTGCTCGAACGCTTACCCTGAATAAATGTTTAACACAGTACCAGGGAAGCGATGTAGGATGGTGATGGGTAAAAAAAACAGGACCGATCACCAGTGGCGCGTTATCCTATGGGCAAAAGGAGCAATTGCCCGGGGCCTCCACCAACGTGGATGCCCCCAAACCAATCTTTGATAACCTCATTGCTGTAGTAGAGGCCTGCTTGATAGAGGTAATAGGCATCTGCCTGGGTACTCTGAGCCCTTATCAGGGCGGCTACACTAACTGTAGTAGAGGCCTCCAAATTCAAGTTTTCCCGGGACCTCATGAAGCTATAACGCGCCACTGCCAATCACACTTTGGGCTTGATTCCTCCGCCACGACGCCATACCACCACTCTGTTAACTTGAAAACTCCAGGGTGGGACACTCATGGTCCAAGGGGTAGGAACTCTCTGATTGAAGTTCGTCAACACCCACACTACCGAAAATCGGACAAATTAAGATTTCTTCTCACGTATGAAGTAGTTGCATTAGATGTAGAAATGAATTCTTTCCGATTGGATTCACATAATTGATTCAAAACTACCGAGTTCGCAAGCTTCCAGAAAAATGGCAAAAGGTCATCAACAATAGTGGAAATTATTTCGATGATTGATCTGTTTTCATTATTTTTAAATAAAACGTCGTACGAATCAAGATAACTTGCAAGAATCCTATCTTTCAAGATAACTTGCAAGAATATTATAAGATTGTGTTGTCTTGTAGGATATCCTACATAATAAAATGATCGCATGCCTTTTAATGGCTTGTTTATTACACACTCATATATGTAAACGTGCATTATTATAAGCATCAAACAGTTAATAATTGTTTTACATAATTTTCATCTTCTTAATTTCGATTAACACAGCATACTACAACAATTTTAATCATTCTTACAGTAACAATTTAAGCATAATAGCATCTTAATTTTTTGAATCTTGAACGCAAATATATTATTAAGATATTAGCAAACATTATATAAAATAATAAGTATTTTAATAGCTGCGTCTGACAAAAAATGTCACTCACAAACGTAATACTCCATTAAGTCTCAAGATTTAATTTTCTTTCATTCTGTTAGAAAGAATCATTTCTCTTAATCTAATTGTAAATAAAGAGTTTTAAAACAAAGGGTATCACTGTGTTCCGCAGCGAGTATATTCTGCTCTACAGGTTACAATTAGAGTGTGTGCGAATGTGCAACGGGTTTCAGACAGTAAAAGCGATAAGTGCGATCATTAAAAGTAAAAATTCAAATATCAGTTCGTATCAAAACACGCAACACATTCATGTTGTTCTTTAATTGTTAGTAAATATAACAAATTTTTAATAATAAATCGTGGTAGTTGAGTAGTTTAAGGGATATATATAAAGTTTATGAATATCCAAGCTATCATACCATGCAAACGTACTTAGCTACAGTGATGCTCGGTTAAATTGAACTGAACTATCTCCACTCTTCCCCCACCACTCAGTGCTTCCAGCTTAGTAAACTTAAACACATTGACAATAAGAGTGAGGCGCAGTAAGTCTGAATGTGCCAATATCAAAAATTTCATTTTTTGTCGTTTTCATCCTATCTTTATAAAAATAGTACAGCTGAATTGATAAAGTTCTCCTAATGGAAATGAGTTCAAACACGACAAAAATCGGATTAGTCTTAACAGTAATCGGTTTTAAGAGCACCCTTAAATATTCGGAATATTTAAATTGATCACTGCTAAAATTTGTTCGATTTATATCGTAATTGATGTCATTTCCATCGGGAGAATCACTTCAATTCATTGGTACTACTTTCATAAAGATAGAATGAAAATTAGAGAAATTGTTGACATTGGATAATTCATTGCAACGTAAGCGGTATCCCTTTCAAGTTCTGTGTTTAAAAACTCTCGTTTATCTATTTTCTTTCGTTGATGCTGTTTGAGAGCCAATCCCTGAAATCAAAACGCTACCTTGCTCGTGAAAATTGAATTAAACGAGCCTGATTTTATTCAATTTAACCGAGCATTACTGTACATGAATATTATAACCTAAAAAGACTTAGCGACAAACTTTCGCATTTTCTTAACGGCAGTAATGTAACAATAGCGAGTGCTAAGAATAAAATATTTTCCATGACATAAATTATTCTTTTGTTGTTCTGTTCTCCCATTTTTTTTTTTTTTTATCAATATTGGTATTCTATAAATAAGTTTTTTCTACAACATCAATTGTATAGTATTGACGTTTATAGGAAATTTGACAGCTGTAAATTTTTAACTTTTGATGCAGTATAATCTATTACTGCACATTTTATTAATATATTAAGCATTTGTTTTTCCGAATTATACTGAACAGTGAGAGTATATAATTTTAATTCAACATTGCAATCAGAAGACTCTTCCCTTCAGCAGCGCAATCATTCTGGAAAAAGAAGATATAGGCATTCATGTTTTACAGTTTATGACAAATAAAATGTCTTTTGTAAACTTGTAAATTTATTACAAATAAAATATAGATATTACAGTTATATGAAACGCATATTATTAATATCTGTTAGACATAATTGTGTTGCTATTCCTAAATGAGATTAATACAAATATATATTCCATTCCATAACTTTCTTTAACTCAAAAGTGCGATCAGAAGACGCTTGTACTCTTCGCTGCAGTCACTCTGTAAATGCAAACAGAATGTCGGAAGAATTAAAGCAATGTTAATAACAGATGCAATGTAGTTATACAAAGTGTTCTACAATAAAACCGACAAATTTTGCCAGCAGGCTGGGGAAGCACGTTTTACTACAAAACATTTCCTGTATTTTCCAATATAAAGTTAAAATACAATAAATACACCCATGTTCAAATGTTTCTTTCAATGCACACTATTTAGGAAGACATTTAATACTAAAGTTTCGATACCCCACATATAAATCTTCTATTTTCAATTAATTCTCAAAGTCAGTGGTGGCAAAGAGGTTAGGTTCTAGTGTTTTGACTGCTGGAGTCGCATGTTCGAATCTCCATGTTAGTACTACAGTATCTTTCTTTCTTCTAAGTACTATTCTGTTTGTGAGTAATTGCAATTTATCATTATTCTAATATTATATGTAATTAATATAAAAAATGTTCTTACAAAATTTTTTCGGTATGTAGGGGGACATTAGGTGGTATAAATAATTTTTCAGTAGGTATAGTAGTTAGGAAGATATCAAAGTCAAGTTAATTTTTCTAAATGCAACCCTATATTTTTTTATTCATATTGTAGCATTTGTTGAGATGAATTCAACGAAGTGCATCTTAAGACATTTCGTTTTATGAAAAGTTGTAAAATCGTGGAGAATTTGTATTAGTAGCACATTCAAGTACTGTGCGTTGCTGGAAGAATGGCGAGCGGAAGGAATACGGATCTGACTGGATTATGTCCCCATAGACCGAACTTTTCTAACACAATCGTAGAAATAAGGCACATGTAGTGTCATTGTTGGCCTACGCAATAGCAACGACGAATCGGATCATATAGCATCGCGTGACAAAAGAATTAGGCGGCGCGAGCGAAGTCTTCTTTGCAGCTCCGCACAATACAAATATGCAAAGTTTGAAAGAAATTGAACATGGGTAATTTCGTTAGGTTTTCGATTAAACTCCCCTGTCGATTTCACTTCGGAACATCCTATTTTTTATGTTCAAATTCAAATTATTAGGTCATGTAATATAAAATGTCGGATTTATAATCATTCACGAAATTGATCATTCAAGAGATTTAGTTGAGTGTTAGAAAGTTCTAATATTTATCTTGCAAACTTAAATTCATACACTTCTTGTTGAGTTTCTGTTAGTGAATCTAAGGGTTTCCACTAGGCGTCAATCAAGACGAACATGACATTTCAATCCGACATTTCATTTTCCACAGCCTAATATGTACGTACGTATATACATATTACAAAAGCAATTCATAATTAGTAAGATTAGTTACTTTGCTGGATTATCGTATTAATAACAAAAGCCAAGTATTCATATAATTAATTTAATGAGTTTTGCAGAAACAAGTGTAATTTATTTCAATTTAAACTAACGTTTCTTGTAAGCAAACTCATTATAATAAAAAAATAATTCACAAGGTAAAACAAATAAGAGTCGTTATAATATCATATTTACTGCTAATTATCGATGTAATTCAGATCAAATTAAAATTAATGCATCTACAAATCTCTGCAGAATATCGCAAAGAATCATCCTTGATATTAAAGTACGATTTAAAAATAAAATGAGTTGTTGAACATGAAATGTGTTCATCCAAGTAGCGCATGCAAGAGCCTCTTGTAGTCTCCCGAACAGTCATCCTGAAATTATGGAAAATTATAGGCAGCCGAGATACAACAAAGTAGTTATTACGCAAAGAGGTGATTTATGACAAGTTATAACATATATTATTTTGTGCACCACCACTCCAATGAAAGTAAGTTAGAACGTCAATGCTTTTGTAAAAGATCACTTGATTTTCATAATTGTATTAACCCTTTCGCTCTGGCGCACTTGTAAGAAACTGTGCTCGCTGTGGATGGAATGCGTCGACGATAACTTGACGCTGACATACAGACAGAGGACTTACTTACGATGCACAATTGCGTTTTCTGGTCTATAAAAACTTTGTGATGAAGTTGATTACAGTAATTGGAATTATTTTATGAAAATAATGTAATTTATTTTAATATGTTAAAGAACTATAAATATTAATATCTGGTGGTTGGTTATGGAAGAAGGAAATATATAGAGAGAACGTAGGAGGAAAAGGAAAGAAAGCTACATTTCGTCCTGGAACCTAACCTAAATGGATTCATAAGAACCTTGGGGAGGACTAGTGAGAAAGATTAATGGTCTGTCCCTCTAGCGGTGGAGCATAAGAAGTACAGCCACAAATATTTTAAGAAATCTGAAAGCGTGTTATTGTCGAAAAATGCAAATTCGTCTTGTTGACAGTAAGTTACTTGATAGTAGTCGACTATCTGAGGTACCCAGTGTTGCTTAATACTCTATGTGCAATATCTTATGTGCAAAGTGTGAAAAAAAATGTAATATATTAAACATACATAGTATGGGCGTATATATACACCCTTTGTACGTGAGCGTCCATTTCTCAGGGGCGTATACATACGCTCTTCGGAGCGAAAGGGTTAATGATATTTTATTATAATTACTTTAGATGACTACTGTTTGTTTAAAGCTATCTAAAGCTAAAGTTTATTTACCCTTTTGACTATACTTAAAATTCATAATTAAAGCAAGTTATATACATTTTATTTAATGAATGTTAAAAAAGGGAACTAAATATTACAGAAACACTTTAGACGAATTAACGCAAGAATATTGAACTTATAACTTACGTCAATATCTCCTGCAAGTGATTGTCCATACATTTTTTGATAAATTTCCTTAATATCTCCCAAATCAATTTCCGATCGGGCTACAATTATGCGTATCAACGTTGCGTCATCTGTACCTAATCCACGTATAGCTTTGTATAACCTTTCCGCAAAGTATGCAGTTTTATCTCGTGCACATTTCACTAAGATAAATAAATAGAAAATTGAATTACTATTATTGCAACTCTTTAAACTATTACACTACTTACAAATATTTGTCCCCTCATTTAATTACGATATTTTATTCTGGAAATTCTTAGAGTATAAATCATAGATTTAACTTTAACTTATTATTTTGTATATTTCTTTACTGATGTTTTATATACATTTTTAACATTCTAAAAATTCAATCTTCACGATTGATATGATTTGGTGCCAGTTCGAATGATCCAAAAGAAAAGAAAAGTTTATTTTAACCAACAGAGTTGTCTCTTCTGTGCCTGCACCATTCATTAGAATTTGAGAAGTGATTCTATAAGCCAAAATGAGACGATACGAGGGTACAGCAATGCTCAAAACCAATTACACATAGCCGGCAGTTTACCTGCCCTTTACACGCCATATACTATATAGCAAATATCGTTGTATCTTTAAAAACAAGTCTATTTTTCTGCTAAACAAAGATCTTACATCATTAATATTTCTTACCAACTGCAAGATAGCCGTCTTCAAGACTTCCAGAAAATTCTCTCTTAATAGCATCTTCCAAACTATGGTCAGCAAGACGTTCATATTCCTGGAAAATCTTTCGTAGCTGAGGATAGCTTTTAGTTACGAGAATAGCATTAAAGGTACTTTCGTCTGTTCCCCACTGAAGCTCTCCAGCCTCAAGAAGCCTTTCTGCATCCAAATATGCAGCTTCTTCATCAACATCGGTATCTTCATTTCTATTAGCCTGCAGCACAATTTGAATAAAATTTACTGTTTATTTATCTTTCCAGTAGCAATAACAATAGTATAATACATAAATAACATATTACATAATAATAGAATACTTTTATTTTGTTGCTTATCAATTATGTTGCCTTTATAAATCACAGTATTAAAACTGCATAAATATAAATTGTTCTTCAACTCATAAAGATATTTTTTGACATGCCAAAATCCATTTAGTTTGGCTCTTGACTCGGAGATAAAATGATAATTGTGCCCCAGAACCACGAAAGGTTGCCCATACCTAGTATACAGGGTGGTCCACGCAACTTGCACGAATAATTTCCAAAGTATGCGTTGTACGAAAAAAATTTTTATACAAAAGTTGCATGGTTTGCAAGAGCACATTATATAGCGTATGTACTTTTTTTTATAGTTGGAGGCGTTTCGGAGGTTTCGAGGTCAACTTCGTTATTTTTTGAATTCTAAGTAAAAAAGTATTGACCTTTATTAGTCCTAAGCCTAATAATTAACGAATAATTTCGCTTCATTTCTTGAAAATGTACTTTGTGCTCGGGTATGGAACTTTCGCCGGTTTCCTTTGTTGCGCTAAAGGTCTACCGGTACGATGTCTGAACGATGTCTGTTACGCATATCACAGTACAAACACCGATAACTTCGATGTTGAATCCAGTAGACTCCTTCGATGTAGACTCCAATTTGATATTACGCAATGTACATTTTCCAGAAACGAAGCAAATTATTCACTAATTATTAGGTTCAGGGCTTATAAAAGTCAATACTTTTTTACTCAGAATTCTACATCCTTTGATATTTTGGATTCAAAAATATAGCATTCCATTTAAAATAACGAAGTTGACCACGAAATCTCCGAAACGCCTCCAACTATAAAGAAAAGTATATACGCTACATAATGTGCCCCTGTAAAGCATGCAACTTTTGTATAAAAGAATTTTTCATAAAACGGGTACTTTAGAAGTTATTCGAGGTGTACAAGTTGCGTGCACCACCCTGTGTATACAGGGTGTCTTTTTTAGCTGGACACAGTAGAATTTCTTAAAAAGGAACTAAAGCTATCGAAAAAATGTTCTTACAAAAGTTATTTGATATGATAGCGGACATAATGTGGTATAAATAGTTTTGTCACAATTGAAGTGGTGGAAGAGATTTACAACTATATTACACTACATTATTTAAAAATTAAAAATGAATAACTATATGTTCTGAATAATATATTTACATTTAAGGTATCAATTGACTTTAAAATATAATATTTAGTTGGACAATATAAAAAAATAATTTCCTGTCTCTGGTAGAAGGCGACATGAGACTATTTAGTCCCTAATTGCTACACACAGTAAGGAACTTTGAAGTGTGAACATTAATCACTTTCTTAACATTCTTACAGTTAACCCTGGTAAAAATAAGTTTTACACACGCATTATTGGTAACATATAATACATACTAATAAAGAATCAGGGTAGATAGGGACAAGATTGGATCTTCCTTTACTGTAGTTAATGGTACAACCTGATAAAAAGTGAATTAAATATTTTGTTTTAAAACCAATGGAAAATCCCTATGAAATTTTCAAATGGAGAGGATTAAATGTCTCCTCCAATTCACGAGCCTGCTCAGATAAGTAATTAACAAATGTACACACCGCAATTGTCACACAATACGTACAAATCATTGAAAAACAATCACTATACACTACAGTATTCATACACATGCGCATGTTTTGAGCTGTTGTATACTGACTGGTGTCAGGATACTTGATCGACCACAGGGATGTCTTTAATTGTTAATAACTGAAAAACAAAGCCTCATACACGATTTTTATCTTATCCTGGCGTGTAAAATCACCCTTTAAATTTTCTATTAACAATTGTCGAACATCCTATTTACCTAGTTTTACTTAAATATATTAGGTTGAGTAATATTCGTTTCGATGGTGTACGCATTTTGAAAAGTGTTATCTAAAACTGTTGCTTATACAGTAATGCTCGGTTAAATTGAAGAAAACCGGGTCCACTCATATCTATTCTGGCGAGCAAGGTGGCGTTTTGATTCCAAATATTGGTTCTTAAACAGCTCTCAAATTTAAATATTCCAGATTTTCAAGGGTGCTTTTGAAAATGATTACTGTTAAGACTATAATAGTCCGATTTATGTCGTGTTTAGACTCATTTCCATCGGGAGAATTTCACCAATCCATCGATACTATTTTCATACAGATGGAATGAAAATGATAAAAATTGAAATTTATGATATTGACTGATTCTCAAGTACTGGCGTCTCACTTATTCTCCCTATATCTATTTACTTTTCTTGCTGATGTGTTTAAATTTGCTGAGCTCAAGGCACTGAGTGGTGGGGGAAGAATGAGGATGACTTGTCAGTTCAATTTAACTGAGCATTACAGTACATACTGGAATCGCTGCAATAGAAAAACGTATCAAATTAACGTTGGATTTTCATTTGTAGTATTAGCCAGATGTTATTCAGTTTTATACGAATAAATTCTTTCTAGAGTCGAGCGGACGCAATATTCATTTTCGGTATTAATGCTTCTTTACTTCCGGAGAAAAAACTGCATAAAAGAAATAAGAAAAAATGTTTGTGAAATGGTTGTGAAAATGGATTAAAAGATTTAATTGTGGAAATTTCATCTTATAAAATAAGGAACAACAAAGTAGCAGCTCGATTAAGATTAATGTTGATAAAATAGCACCATTAATTAAACAAAACCCAAGATACACGACAAGAGAGATTTTGTCAACATTTTAAATATCTCGCAGAAATCAGTTTTATTACATTTAAACAAACTTAAAATGACAAATAAGCATGATGTTTACGTTCTGCACGAATTGACTGAGAAGAATTTACTGGATCGTATGTCAATTTGCGATTTTTTGTTACGATATAAAATCCGTTAATTTTTAAAACAATTAATTACTGAGGATGAAAAATGGAAAATTTTTAATGAAGTGGAAAGAAAAAAACATTGATCTAAACCAGGACAACGACCTTCAGCCACCACTGAACACCACAAAAAGATGTTGCTGTCTGTTTGGTGAGATTATAAGAGTATGCTTTATTATGAACTTTTATCAAATAACCAAATAATTAATACCGAAAGATGCTGTTCACAATTGAATCGCTTAAAAGTAGCAATAAAAGAAAAACGACCTTAATTTGTACCCAGAAAAGAAGTTATCTTTAACCACGATAACGCACGACCGCATACGACGATAACGACGCAAGAAATAATATTACAATTTAATTGACTATTGCTGAACATATTCACCTGACCTTGCTCCATCTGATTTTTATTTGTTTCGAGCATTGCAAAAATCTCTTGAGAGAATTCAAAGACACAGAAGAAGTAAAAATGCACGTGTCTGAATTTTTTAATAAAAAAAGCGAAAAATTTTACGGTGAAGAAATCAATAAGTTACTCAACAAATGGGAGAAAGTCATAGAACAAAATGGTGCATTCATCGCTGATCAGGCATATTTTATATGAAAGAACAGTAGTTGTTGGGACAACGGATTATTCTAAGTTTACGATACGGTCAATACATCTGCTATCTTTGAAGACTTGAATATGTTGTTTTCTTAGCATGCCATCAATTTTTAAATTAGGAGAAACGCCTAACACTTAACTGGTTTTTAAATGCTTGACCTCTCCTACTTAATAGCAATTGATGTATCGTAATCTTATTCTTCGGGCTCAGGACTAATGAGTGTATGGACAACAATGGACGATCTGGACTTGGCGGAATTTCAATTATTCTTTACCGGCATGTAGACGTTGGATGGACACACCTGTAAGTAAGTACTTGATGCATGGGCGATATAATAGTGTGTGAACGACAGCGCCAAGACTTTTTTACATTTTCTTAGGACACACCTCTGGACGGACAAACACAAAGTATGTCCGTTTTAAATGTCTACACGTGGTTATCTCTGTACGTATCAGAAATACGAGAAAATGTTTCAGATTAAAGTTGTATGATCGAGGGGGGCATATAACATTTCCTTTAATAAAACAGAAACACGCGACTGTGAGGAACGTATGATGTTCCGGCACCCGGTTTTTCGCAATTTTGCGACAGTCCATGAAAGGAAATGACTTTGTTCGCACCTTGTTGGACTCAATGTGGCCTAATTCTACAAGTGTCAGTCAAATGGTAGCCCGATTCTACAAGTGTCAGTCAAATGGTGGCCCGATTGTCCAACTGACAGTCAAACGGTAGGCCAATTCTTCAACTGGCAGTCAAACGGTAGGCCGACTCTATGTGATAAACAATTGGCAACCAAACGGTGGCTCTCCCTCTACATTCGACGGATAATGTGTACAGGTATTTAATGTAATTTTTTAGCAATTTGTTTTTGTAATTCATCCAAAGCGATATATTATGAAATTAAATTAATCACTCAATAAGTATTAACACTAGATTGTTTCCCCGATATGGCCATGGTGGTCATCAGTGACTGGAGTGCCTCAAATGTTTAGAATAATTAAAATAAAATAAATATTGTCAACTAAAAATTTTGAACATCATAGCTAGCTAGACATTATTTTAAATTGAAAAAAAAAATTATAAAGTATAATAAGCATAATACTATAATCCTATGCTTAAAATGTATTTTCTTGTGGCCGCCTGACAGCAACCTGTAAATCTGGCGTGACAGTGAACGTGTTAATAAGTAAATGTTCAAATTATGTCGTGTTTGATGTCATTTTTCGGGATAAAAAAACGTAAAATTAAAAAAGTTGGTATTTAAATCGCTTGGTTGCCTCGACTGAGTCCCTGTCTCTACAAGTGTCAGGTTTAGGTTCCTTGCTGACTGACACTTGTAGAGACATTACTGTACTTCTAAGAGATATACTTGCAACAGCATTTGTACAAATACTTTAGATACATTTTTTTGTAAAGACACTTGCGATACTGTTCAAGATTTTGAACACTTATAGTGGAACTAATCGGCTACTGCACGAACTTGAACTTGGATTGTATCGCAGACGACTAGCCCACGTGAATCTAGAATTGAACAGTGAACTTTCAACATTAAACTTTACATACCTTAGTACTTTGAATTTATTTTTAGCATTATTGTTACTATTACAATAAAATTGTGTGGGATTGTGTGGGAGCCAATAGTAGTACTTAATATTCTTGTAAAGAAACGCAAACGAACTTATTACTCAACCTAGTAATATATACACAATGTATCTTTCAAACCCGCATATAATGAGGTTTTAGTAATAGGTTAAAATGTCCTGCCGTGATAGTCTCAGAGCATTGATCTTCTGAAGGTTAATACATTATCAAACTTAATTTTTCGAGAATGAGGATACACATAAAAAATTTCATTTTAGATTTTTGATTAGCTTCTTCAGATAGAATTACTTCTTCCCCAATTGTACACCACTAATTACAGAATACATACCGTGGATATTATTTCTGTTAAAAGCACAAATATAGTCATTCTTGTATTTGGTATCGAACTATGCAAATGACTATATTTCGGAAAATATCGAGTGATATTGAGAATAATATATACCACATTTCTATCAAATAATAACAGTATGTAATTTTATATTTTAAATAATATTATAATTGCAGTCTATTTATGAACAAGATTGCGAAATTTTTAGGATATTTTGAAATAATACTGCACGTAAATATACAGTGGTAAATAAAAATTGTAAATAAATTCATCTTAGAAATCTAAGAAATAGTAGTAATTAAATCTAAGAAAAATAGCAATTAAATAATCTAACAATCTGTTGTTAAATTTAATTATTGTATTCAAATTTACTTACACATGAGAGTGACACTAGCAGCCTCTTAAAGTGACCAGATGTTTCACCTTTCAGATCTTCTTCCAAGTCATTGTCATACACTACAAATATAAATCAACTGTACAATTTAATTCTAGCAATTTAACATGTTTAAATTACACTTTCAATAATCTTGTTTAGAAAATAAGGCAATACACATTAATATAAGATAAAGAAATAAGTTTTCTTTAAATGAAATTTGTGTTTCAAAATTATTTGAAAGTCACATGTGTAAACATCAATGAAAAAGGTTTGAGATCTGTTACAGCATGATAAGATTAAATATATCTGATTCTGTTTAGAAAAACAGCAACCTTGAAATTCACGAAAATCTAACCCTTGATGTAATAGTTTTATTAATCACGATTTTAATGACCATAAACATATAATTTTTACTGTACTTATTTCTTCATACTAATAAAAGCAAAGGAAGATATTTCAGGAAATAATATCAGCTTGATTAGACTGTATGTGCTTTATATATATTGTAATCAAAAATTGATAATTTTATTTGTAGTTACCATAAAGTGATAAAAAATATTGTTATGATCATAATAAAAAGTATACTGTATTCAATACAAACAGACTTACATTCTTTATAGACAGCAGATATAGTCTTGATGCCATAATTGCTAAGAGATGCCAATACTTCAATAAGAGCACCTTCATCAGTGCCCATTCCAGAAATTGCTTTATGAAGTTCTTTAGCATAAAGTTCTGGTAATGGTGTCATTAATGCTAAAATTGCCTTTTCGAAATTACCGCCAAGTTCTGATTTCAATTCAGAAATAAGGTCTTTTCCATACATTGTTTTAAATTTATCAGCTATTTCAAGTCGTTGTACAATTCCACGATGAGCAAGGACATCAATTATTGTTTGTTCATCTGTACCAAAACCCTTCATAGCAGTTCGTAAAAGAGCCGCATCCTCTTCCGGATTGAAAGGGTCAGCAGGATAAACTGTTGGTGTACACTAAAAGAACAGAAAGAAAGAAAACATACACATTATGCAATATGCATATGAGGAGTAACATGAAAATGCATTTAAAAAAAGAACTTCTTGCTTCAATATATACATAAACAAATGGTAAATACTTAGAAATATATTATGACATGTGAAAACATCTATTTAACTCTAACTATAGAAATACTAATACAATTATATAGTATATCTCTTTGGTCATTAAATAATTCATACAGAGTTATGCAAACAGGCCAATATATATATCTGTATGTGTACATAATGAATATTGTGTGTATATGTAAAATTAACAATAAGAAATGTTTGGTAATTACCTGTACATGGTAGTACTGCTTAGCTGACATGATTCAAATCAGCTGTAAAATAAAAATTCAAATTAAGTAATAACATATTTATAACATATTTTTACTTCAAAATTTGTATTTCATCACTTTCTATACACTTAGAATCAAATCATTATTAAAATATAAACATTGAAAAAAAATTATTACAATCTTTATATATCTATTCTCTTCAATTAATATTAGATAAATACTTTATCAAAAATATTAATTAAACAATTTTGTGTCCATGTTGCATCAGGATTTAACGTAAATTAAAAAGTAAAGTGTTAAGTAAATTTAAGTTGTTAAAGTCCTAATGGGTATATGTTTCTACCTTATTTTTCAACATATATAATTCCCTTAAACTTCAACACACTTGATCTATCAATGAAGCTTTGTCATGCTCTGAATAAAATGTTTTTGATTGAGAGAGGAACCAAGAATGTACTACTTCCTTCAGTTGCTTACTGGACTCAAACTGCAGTATTTTGAGAGTATGAACAGTAATATATCAAGAATTTGTGCAGCAAAAGAAATGTTAGTGCTGTTGATGCACACTAATCCGAAACAAATTATAGGACTGATTGTTAAGTTGAAACTTCAAACTTCTAACAATGCACAACTTGCACTGTAGTCTCAATAAAAAGTTATAGGCTTATTCCAAATATTTGCTGATTTATCTTCATAGTTTCAGCTACCTAATTATTGATGCATAAAATGTAATAAAAGATATTAAATTTAGTAATGAGCATGTTTCGACCTAAATATTATAAAATGATAGGTAAATAATGATAAAAAACTATCAAAGCAATTAAAATAAAAAAATTAAATACAATATTGAAAGTCTATACTATAGTTTCAAAATATTTTTTAGTACATATGTAAAGTTGAAAACAAATTAATTGTCACTGTTAAACAATGCACAACACTCGAAAATAGATTATAAATGAAATTTTTATAAATGATCTTAGCAAATAACAGTAT